TCGATCTCAAGTAAATGCCTGAACTTGCCGGCCACGTCTGGGTACATTTGAGATATGAGAGGGTACAGACGTTCTCCCAACGCCTGTTTTTGTTCCTGGGGCGGCATTGTGGCCAACATGGTGGCAGTAAGTGGTTGGTTTTCTTTGTAAATTGCAGCATGTGATGCCTTTTTCAAAATGTAAACAATAAAAAGAGTTACTGTATTAACTCGAAATCTCTAATTTCCTATAATATTAAACTCCTTGCAGCAACGAAAGCAGTTTTGACAGCATTCCTAAAAAGGCATGTATATTCTCGTACACATGTATGATGCTGCGCCTCTATATGGTTATTATAACGTCTGTAGCTCACCTGGGGCTTAACTGATACACAAGATTGGTAAGTTTGTGATTGTCCAGGCATCTGTTGGCTGATAAACCTGTTTTGCTGATTGGCTGATGTTCCTGATGGACTATTGATAGAATGACATTCTACACTAGAACGTGTCTTTGTTATCTCTGTTAAAGGAAAGATGATCAAATTTCTTAATAGGTTGTAAAGTTAATAAAGAGAAAAATCTTGATTAAGACCTTTTATTTTATCTAAAGCTACTAGTTTGTTCCGAATTTTAATAGTCAAGATTTAAAATGGAATCCAATTTCCAACAAATTGTTTACGATCTATATCTTTTTATTTAAATAGATAATTTATATTTCCATTTTCTTCGTTGATTACCAATTATGTATTAATTAACTAATGAAGTTTCTTACTTTAACAGTACTTTGCTCTGATCAGGTTTAAGGACATTTTTAGTAAGTACTAGTATCTTTTAATGAAATGTCTTAAATACTATTTCACTTTGAATGATTGATAAAATATAGTTTAGATAAATTATAGCTTTGATAGACTCGGGGCTTTAATTTGCTTACCATAATACATACCTCGTTTATTATTTACTACAGAAAACATACCGTTTTCAGGCATAGGAACTGTTCTTGGAATGGTTAAATTCAATCTTGGCATACTGTTAGACACATAATAAGCTGGCTGTGCTTGGGGCATGGTGGGTGAAAAATAACTTGCAACTTTTGGGGTAATCATTTGACTCATATGTCCGGGTTTTTCTCCCTAGAAACGACGATTTATATGTTTCATTTCTGTAAAATAATACCGGGTATAATCAATAAAGGAAGAATTAATCTTTCATAAAATGAAATCATGTTTCAGTTAAAAGTAATTGCATCAATATCAATTCAAACCCATATTTTATAAACATATTAACAATATTAATTTCAGCTTATAATCTTTTTGAACCCTTTTATCTCATTTTTTTTTCAAATAGACTAAATTTAAAATGTTTTAATTTTTTTCTTTCTCTTTGACCATATTCTTTTAATAATTAGCTTATACACTTATTCACCGGTAGTTCTGATTGTCGTTGTACACTTTGTTGTCTATCTTCTGATACAGCGTCCTGGACAAGCTGAACAAGGTCAATTATACCCCTTTTTCCTCCTACGAAAAATTATTATTTTTAGAAAAATAGAATTTTAAAAATCACAGATAGGCAGTACCAAACATCCTATATATATATACAGGACTTGTAATGTTTGCATAGTATAATATATCATAGCAAGAAATTAAAAATATTTTGCAGCAATTTAAAAACATAAGTCCTGGTATATTACGTATAATATGTATCGTATAACAGTCTGTAAACTATTTTTAAACATAACATTATTAGTTGATAATTTGCATATGTGTATAATTTAAAAATGTTAACTTAAAAATGATATATGCCATCAGACAATGGGTGCTTTCACAGTTCTACCATTAGTACCAACTTTCAATATACCATTGGTGCAATAATTTGACAATGGTACCAACTGTACCAATAAACCCTGAACGGATATTGGCATACAAATGTAACGATTTTACCAATGTTACCAATGGTAGTCCAGGGAAACATTGGTAATACTAATTACAGATTTCTTTGTTTTCTAAGTTATTGCCATTCAGAATAGCAAAAAAATCATAGCAGACTAGTAGCCGAGAAACAAACCACATCAGGATCACACTTCTTTAGTTGCCATATCTATGAGTTTTATATAATCCATTTAATGGATGATGTTCTAAATCGTACTTCAAAATCATGAGTTTAAGTGTTTGATTTGATTTTTATGTGATTTTGGCATGATTTGTTAAAAAGGTTTAGAAAAAATTGTTTATATCATTGTAATCCGGGACCCAAAGTCTTTCTAGCTTGTTACCATGTCGATAACTAGCTGTGACGTCATTTACCAACATTAACCACACTCTAGATTGTCTGCAGAAAAATATACCTTTGGCAAAAAACATTGGTACCAGTAATGCCAATGGAAATTTAAATTTTTACCAACAGCAACTTTTGTCTACCAAAGGCAGAACTGTGAACCACCCTATACCTATTGAAACAAAATACATTCCAAGAATGTAGCTTACCTGTAAAGCAGTTTGTATTGTTTTCTGAATCTTTTTTCTCTCTTTTTTGAACATTTCATTAATTTCCTCCTATAACACAAATTAAGAGTATTCTTTTAAAAACTATTTCAAGGGCATGTTTATAGTTACATAGCCCATTCAAAGGTTATTAAACTGCAAATACGTATATTTTTACCTTTATATTCTGTAATGATTCTTGAACAATACAATCAAACTCTTTCGTAGGCTTTTTTCATTTCTTGTAGTGCGGCTTCCAGATTTTTTTCTTTGATATATAATAAATGATATATGCATATAAATCATTGATAAATATTTAAGTTATTCAGATGTTTTTTCTTTGTAAATTTATGTTTAATTTCTGTTTACTATGAAACTCGAATAAAACAAGAAATATTCAGTTAGTTAACATTTGTATACGTACACCAACGTCATTAATATTATAAACGTTATATAAACATTGCGTAAACCTGAGAACAATTGGCTTTCATACTTTTCCTTCAGAGTTTTATGTTAAAATATTGGAATGCAAACATCAATCTGTATGAAATGTTTTTCTTTCTGTTTTTAAAGGTTAATGTCACGTAATTGGCTCTTATTTCTATCCCTATTAAATTTACTTACATTAAATAAGGTGGAAAAAGTCACTCGAGAAAGATGAGCAAGCTCGGCACTAATTCTTAAGTTTGTTTTTCTCTTTGCGGACATTTTCAGCTAAATCTTACATACTACTCATCTTTTTGTCATTTTTATAAAATTAAACGTATTCTGTGTATGCTTTACCTGTGATGTGCAGTTCTCTTCAAGTGATCCAAGAGACCCTTGCCTTTGGTTAAGGAAAGCAGAATCCTCTCCTTTTTCGGACTTCTGGATTCATCTGCTTGATACGAAGCAGAATTGGAGTCTTTTTGCCCTTCTCTACTTCTTCTTTTTCTGCTGCCTTTGAAGATCTTGACCTCATCATTTGGTATCGATTTCTGTGTACTTTTTTCAGACATTTTGTTGAAGCGTTTATTTACCCATGGTAAAGTATTCTATAAAAATAAATTTTAGAGTTTAAGCCAGTATTCATTACATTTGTGGAAACTGTACAGTTTTTGAACTTCTGATTTTAAATTACGAGTATTTAAATCATTTGGAGGAAATGTTGACTTTATTTTTAGAACAAGTTGTATAAGACCGATCAATCAGAGGAAAACGGAGGCTTTTTCATAAAATTGAGGATCCAAGTGTAATTTAGGAGATGCATGAGCACTTTCGAAGGATAAAAGAAAAAGCATGTCACGCAAGTGAAGGGTCGCCTTTTGATGTATGGTAACTAACAAATTTAGTTTAATTTTGTATACGAGTAAAACATTTCATGTGGAAATTGCTGCTTCATATTTGATTTATTTCAAAGTTGGCGGAATCTTGTTTGTCATACAGTTTAGTAGTTAGTTGATCATGTTGATTATAATTTTAAAATTTAGTAAAACATCCAAATAGGAAGATGTCTCAGACACTTCAGTGTTTTTTTCCAGTTCACGGGGATCTATCATAGAGCCGAATGGAAGTAATAGTTGTTAAAACATGGTCGATATACTAGTAACTAAATGAGGACTTGAAGGCAACATTTATATTAATTCAAGTCATACAAAGTTGTTGTGTGTAAGATAGTTTTGACACAACTTACGTGCCATACTTAATTGGTATTTTCAGTTTGTTAGTATATAGATGTATAAATGCAATGAGTATTCCTGTCAGGTACATAGATTTCAAAAGGCAATTATTACTCACAGTTATATTTTTCTTACACTGACATGATTACATTACCAACAGATTAAAGATTAAATTTGATCATATCTCTATAAAATTGGATTCCTGGAATCAAGTAGTTTATATGCAGATATACTTTCGATTTGATCAATGGGCGATCTTTATAAATTTGTTCTTCATACCTTAAAGATTATAAACAACCTTCAAAATTAACATTTTTTGAATATTTTGTATACATATAAATTATATGCATTTTAGCAAAATTGAATACTTAAGTATAGATATTGACAATATGAATTATAACTTGCATGTATACAACCTTTTATTAAAAATCAATCAATATTTACCTTATGAGATAACTTGTAATCATAAAATATTTCTTCTGAAACCTTGTGCAATGTAGTTCCTGTTAGAACAAGTCCTTCTTCATGAAGTCCCTACATCAACGAGCTATTTTCTGTTTGATTTTCAGTAAATCGTACTAGAAACAATAGTTTGATTTCATCTCATGTACATAAACAAAAACAAGATTATATTGCGCATAGCCCAAAGTACGATCTCGTGAAGACTCCTAACTTCCGTTTCGCTTCCTACTTCTCATAAATAAATAATATACGGATAAACCTCGCTGACTCTTTTGTAAAATATATAGGAAAGAAATATACATTTGGCAATTCTTCTAAGATTCACACATACAGCTTTTTGTAAACGTGTTTTCTGGAGAAAAAATAATTACAAAAATTAACATATTTGCTTTTATCTATTCTTTTAACACACTTTATCTAAAAATGTAGAAATAAATAGATCCACATAAAATGAATGCATAAGTCAAGAATCGATCGCTTGACCAAAATTGAAGAAAGGCCGAAATCACCTTTTTAAGGTACTCTGAACCTCAGCCAGGAAGGATAACTCCTTAATTTATAATTTAATTAAAAAGGTCTCAAAATGAAGCTTGAAATTGAAACATTTCCATGCAACAATTTTTACTTAAAACCTCTCAGTATGTTTCAACATTCTTTGAACTGAGAGAGAGAGAGAGAGAGAGAGAGAGAGAGAGAGAGAGAGAGAGTTTGTCGATATGATATATCCCGATGAGTTTGAGATAAAAAAAATACCACATCTGTTTCATATTTAAATTGAAAATTTTACTTGAGAAAGAAGGTAAAGTAATGTAAAAGCCAAGCTTTATGATAAACGTGATGACTTCAACTTTTTAATCGTCAACTTCCCTTAATCATGCAGAAATATACTTAAACCAACTGCATACGAAGTTTATATCTCTCAACTGATACGATACGCAAGAGTGTGCTCTCCAAGTGTAAAATTGTAAAACGAGGTATATTGACAAACAATTGCAAGTTGTGAAACAACAATATTTACAGTCCCTGTTAAAGTCACCATTTCGTAATTTTTGTGGTCGATCGATGACCTTGTCAGCAAATGCAATTTATCGTTGGGTCAAATGCTGACTGACGTTTTTTTCATACTAATTGTTACGCCATAATTATTTACATACTGACATGTAGACAGATTTCCGTTCATGACAAGGAGCACAAGACGGATGTGACCGGGGGGGGGATGCTTCTCCTCCATGGGACCTTATCTATCTCTGATGTTTTGGTCCGTATTTGCTCTGTTCCTATTTTTTATTGTTTAATGAACGTTTTAGCTTGAATACTATTCTTCCTATATTTCATACAAAATAAGTTTCAAATACAGAATACAGAATACAAATACAGAAACAAATGCAAGAAAAGCATTATTTTGATTAATCTGGCCATTTTAAACATCGTAAATCAAAATATAAAGAAAACTTTATTACATAGAGAATAATACATACCCTTTTCCATATCACATCCTGTATCAGCCCGAGACACCAATATCAGCCAGAGGGCCGAAGGCCCGAGGGCTGTTTGGTGAGGGTGATACAGGATGTGTGTGGAAAAGGGTATGTTTTATTATATTTATTACAT